GAAGCATTTAACTGCCTGCTTGGAAATAAATTCAGAAGCAGTATCTCATTTAAAGGAGAGTTTTTATTTAGAGTAAAAAGTTTCTCATAACAAGAAAATGTTTTCATTACAACAAGATAGAAAATTTGTTAAAATTAAATGTCTAAAACAACATCTAAAAATCCCTAGTGTTGTTTAACTGTTGCAAACTTTTCTGTTTAAAATAGCAGATATTTTGTATTAATTTACGCAAAGATTTTTTCAAAAGCATTTTTTATTGGGTATTCAAAAAAAAATTACATTTTTACAACAGCTAAATGAAAACTGCCCATGTTCAGCTGAAAACATAAATAGCACTCCAAACAATGTAGTGCGCATTCCGGGCCTATAGGTGGCATGTGACCTGTCTGATCCAGAGGTGTGTAATCTTAACCCTTTGCTTGTACAGAGGTGCATATATGATCTATATTTCTTCACTGACAGTCGGTGAAGAAATATACAGTCAGTAATGTCAGTGAGCAATGAGCAGAGATTGCCTGAACATGGCAAATAATCTGAAGCGGCGCAGCATGAGTGCAGAAGTGTGAAAAGATGTGACTGATGTCATGTTTTCCAAATGTTTTCTTGCATTGCATATCTAGAAAGTTTGACTCTGGAGCCAGTTAATGAAAATTTGTGTTTTTATTCAGCCAAATACAATGTTGCCATGTGAACGAGAAGAGAAGGCAACACAAAGCCAAGCCTTAAATTCAGTATTTGACAGGGCTATCTTTAAAATGACTGACATGGGTCAGACATTCTCACTATTTTCCAAAAACAGTAATTGAATGGAATTTTGTCCCATTCCTCCTAAACTCCTCATAGATGCACATAGCTATGTCTTGTTCTCTTTCAGTAGATCAATACATGAACCAGAATGTGTTTACCAGAATCAATGGCAGCAATCAGAGCAACTGCTCATGTACAGCAGAACAAAACAAAATCCATGTCCTCATAAAGCCTTGAGCTTTTTATGAGTTGTGCCACATTCATCACCACCCACAGAGTGATGAAAGCAGCAGATGAACATGATATTCTAGGCTCTAGCTGTGATTTATAGAACCGTATCTGTTTGGAGATGATGCAGCAGCAATTTAAAGATTCTGACCGTCCAAATAAAGACAGGAAGAGAGAAGCAAAACTCTGATGATGCTGAGGGTGCTGGGCCTCATGGACAGTTAGCACTAACTGCCGCTAAAAGGGAACAGATCATGGAAAAGTGAGGAAGCTGTATGGAAAGGTTTTTAATGAGTCTTCCAGTGCAGCAGCTGCAACAAGAACCCTCAGAGTCTACAGTTTTACTTGAGAACTAATTCTCTGGGTTCATTTACAGTTCAGCTAGTGGCTTCTGTGGTCTGTAGGCATATTTGAATAGAGTAGCACCTTCCTACACTTTTAAAACTGCAGCACACACAGTTTGATCACTGGATTAGCCAGAATGGGGTTTTTGGACTGTGTATATGATATAATAATGTAATAACTATTGACTTGAGGGGAGTGAATATTTATGCAAACACTTAGTTCTAATTGTCATTATTTTGTAAAAAATTAGTTTTCAATTTGACATTAAGGGTTTTTTGGTAATTTTTTTTTGTGAAAGACAAATTTTATTGCTAATGATTGATTTGTAAAAGCAACAAAAAGCACAAAACAAAAACTTTTGATAACGTTTGCTCTCTGCTTTAAGATTGTGCTAAGTGATTCTGAAGTGTGTGTGTGTGTTAAAAGCTGTAGGAGTCAAATGCAACATGTGTGTAAAAAAAAAAAAAAAAAAAGAGACAAAATGACCACCTTGATCCAAAATGGCCAACTTAGCTATTGGGTTTGGACCATTTCTGCAAGAGATTTTTTGGTAAGTCCTGACAAGTTAGAGATGTGTACCATGTTACATAACTCTCAATCAAAGCATGGCTTAGAGATGTATTTTTTTTAAAGATTTCTGGGAGGTTGCTGTAATAATAATAATAATAATAATAATAATAATAATAATACAACCACCATATATTGGGGTGGATTTCTGTTGGGCGGTGAATATAATCAGTCATAGTGAGTTTAGCATTCATCCAAGAGAGGAAGGATATATCTTGTCCCTTGAAGTAAAGCAACATGTCAGGCACCAGGCTCTGGCTTATTTCTGTCTGTCCTTCTTTACTTTTTCAGGAAAGAGGCTTCAGTGGATAAAGAGAAAAATGGCCATCTGAATCCTGCCTTTCACCTGAAGGTGGTCGGCCCAATCAACAAAGCTAGTGGCCACAAGGGGGTGAGTGGAGAGATTCTGTGGCAACAATGGGAGAAAATGGAAGGAAATGAGGATGGTGGCCTTGTTGTGGTTTGATGAATGTAAAGTGTCCATGAAGCTGACCTTCATCTTAAAAAGCTTTATTATTCAGCAGCTTGTTTTCTTATGTGACCACTTAGTCTGCCTCCTCCTACAGCCTCAGCACTTCTCCATTATTTCATCAGGCTTTTACTGCACTGTTCTCTTTATTCTTTTATTGGAAGCATCAGTGGCAAGGAGAGAGAAATCAAGTGTACAATAGGGAGAAATATGTAGCTGGAAGATGAGAAAAAATCTCATTAAGAAAACGAAATGGCAACATAATGCGAAATGTATTATAAGACATTTAATCTCTCTATAATTGCTTTTAAAATAGTTAAATAGTACCTGGATGCAATGGATATATTTTGAAAAGAGAAGCAAACAATTTTTTTAACTACTAGAAGTACCTGATATTATTTTAAAACCATTCATGTGTTTTTAAAGCAAATTTTTGTTCATTTCAGTTTGGTTTTGTTTCTTTATTTAACTCCAGCTTTTACACACCAGCAAAGAGGTCCTGCCACTCAGACCAGGACTAGTGGCAAATGGCACCCAGCCAGTCAACATTGTGCGACCTCTTAGACCTACCCAGTCCCCCCATGGGGCTCCTCGGGACCTCAAGGTGGTAAGACCACCCTTCCCAGCTGGCAAGCCCCCAACAGCCCCACCCAAGTCACCTCCCACCCCACAAAGACTCAGCCCTCCTAAGAAACCACTGCCCCTTAACCCAACACGTTCCCCACTGGTAAGAGCCTTTATTTACCTTTCATGGAGCTGCATGTGGATTCTGTGTTTTATAGAACTATAGCTAAACATTGTACAATATTAACACAGAGAAGCCTTCAAACAGACCATGAGAAGATGGATCAATATGTAGGAAATGATGGAAGGAAAGCAAAACTTACCAGTAACAACCATTTATCTCATATCAACCAAACCAAAATAAACATATTTAATGTATGGTACTTATTGGAATTTTCAATTCTGGTTAGGACTAGTTTGACTAATTAATTACATAGATTTGTCACATTAAATAATTTAATTAATATATTGCCTTTTTTAATATTCCATTCACATGTTGCATTCACATGTTTCTGGTAAGCCTGTAAATCTGACGCAGAAACAACATCTGCAGACAGCAGCAATGGACAACAAAGTTACTTCTCTTGACTCACTGGAGGTTAAATTCTACTTCAAAACCCAATGTGATTGAATCTTAGAAAAGACTATTGTTGTGTTCAAGTTGTGCTAAAAGGATTTAGCCTATCAGCAAAGCTAGACTAGCCTAAAGTAGCATCTCAATGCTGAAAATGTAGCAGCAGTACAGGCATCTCCAATGCAAATGTCAATGTTTATACATTCAGATTTCTAAAGAAGTTCCATGAATCATTAGGAGTTCCTGAAACACTGGAAAGATGAATGAGTAGAATAGAACTTTGTTCCAATTTGATGGTTGAAGAACCTGAAAAACATACTAAACACTATAATATATTTGTTGTTGAGCTCATATGTCTATTTATTCAATAGTTTAGCAGCAAACATGTTTTTTTTTGCTGCTAAGCTATATAGTTTGTCAACGTATAGTTTTTGATTAAAATATGATCCATTGACTACAGCCCCTATAATTAACTCCATTAAAAAATGTAATTGAATTCCATCACTAATTCTAATTAAAACATGAAATTGCTTGAATCCAATGTATCACAAAAATAAAACCATTTGGAATCAAGTTTGAAGTTAATAGAAATGTTATTGAGCCACAGAGCCACCTTAAATGAAATGCCTCTAAATTACATCAATATTTCTAATGTTGTCTTTCTTATATTTGTTTGAAACAAAGAAGAAAGTTTCTGTGCTTTCTCCTTGGGAAAACCAGCGTATTATCTGCTGGTCAGATCTGGTTCCTCAGTTACCCACCGTGTCTCTGCTGTCTTGTAGCGAGTCTCTGAGCAGCTGTCCAGACCGGCCCCTTGTCCCCCTCAGAGACCTCTGCCCCTCAGTCCAGCCAGAGTAGCCTCCACCAGGGTGAGTCCCAGTCGCTCTTCTGGCTGCAGAGCCACAGGCCTGCTGGTCATGATGCCTCCAGCTCCTGGGCCACAACCTGTGGGGAAAGTGTCAGCCATTCCCCCTCTCAGAGTTCTCAGGTAGGAGAACACACATCATACTAATATGAAGTCCTGTATTATTTTCTGAACAGAGTGACGGTGGTAGATGTTTTCCCAGTGAAAGTCCAGACTTATTTCATATGTAGCAAGATCACAGTACATAAAAAATTATGTTCATGGATGCTATGCATCCAATCAGACTGACTTTTAGGTGTTTTGCAAAAACGTATTGGCAAATATTTTACTTTGCAGATGTGCAGAGCTGGTACAGAGAAACACCAAAAAGACTTCAGCTGTAATTGCTGCTGCTTATCTACACTGTAGTCTGTCTGATCTACACTAAGGGGTTCTGTTGAGTGGGTGGGAAATCAAATTGCCATCAACAGTAGCTGTCCAGAAGCTGTGCATCACTCTGTCTTCAGTCTGACACGACTTCCTGCCCGTGACACTGATTATTTAATTGTTTGTCCTCCAGTGGCATTCTTTGTGCCAGCTGCGTTTTCATTAAAGAAATCACTGTTTCACGTGTCAGCGGTAAACACATTAGTCACTCTGATGGAGAGGATGGATCTAAAGGTCTGCAGGCGGGGAAGAAAGTTTCCCGAATGAAATGGACTGGAAGTGGTTTCAGCAGTGCTCACTAACTCACTTCTGGACCTAAAAAAAATGCATAAAAAATTTTAGTCTAATTTTAAGTCAAACAATGGTGAAAAAAAGTATTTTTATTCTGTGTAAATATCTGCTTTACCTGCACCACTGTGAAAATGCTGTAATGTTGAAGTGAAAGTGATGACTACATACTGTTGCTGAAGCTGTTTCCAGTGTTTCTTGTCTTCTCTTTCTGAGCTGTTTTCTGCTCCAGACTGCAGTGCACCTACTCAGTTCTTGTCTGAAATTCAGCTTCCTTTTCATGGAAGTGACAGTCCCCTCTGCAAAGCTGTGTACTTTTGTCATCTGGTACAGATTCATTCTTGTTTCCATAAACATACTCTGACATTGTAAAAGTGTCAGGATGAGAAATCTGCCAGGTATTCTGTGCCGTTTTGAAGCTTACACTGTACTTCAGAGATGAACATGGTGTAACAGTATGGTCTCTTGGTTTTCTCCACAATGGGCCTGCTAACCAGATGCATCACAGTTGTCCTGACAACGTCATCATGCTTCTTCTAAGCTCCTCTAGTTGTGAACAGGTTTGCACTGCTGTTTAGCTGATTTGATTTTAACTTTGATGCGATTCAAGTCTTTGAGGTTGGAGGACCACCTTTCCATCACCCTAATCTTTAGCTCCATCCACAGATTCTCTTTCATATCCAAGTCAGAACTCTGGCTGATCACTTCAAAATATTCATTTTGTTTCCAGTCAGGAGAAACAGGGTCATTTAATAAGATTACTCTGAACCTCCATCAGCCAGAGTTTAATATAATAAATCAGTAAAAGGTTCTCAATGCAAAAGCATTGCATTGACTATTTTGTTTTTTAATCCTGTTTTTAAAGCACAGTTTGTATTTGGCTCTAAATAAGCATCACTCTGTCTCACAATGGGAAGCAATTATTTTGTGCTTCAAAAAGCCGAGATGAGAAAACAAAGTTTTTATCTCTGTGGCTCAGAAAACATATTTTCATCAGTACAATAGACATTGGTTTTGTTAAAATGACAAAGAATGGAACATATACTAAGTTATAATTGCTGTTTAGAAAATCTTAAGCAGCTTAGTAGATCTTATGCAGAAATCTTGTTTTCCCACCTGTTTCTAGACCGATCCCAGGTGCCAGACCGAACACAGCCTCGCATCCACAAAAATGACCTTCTCCTTGCCCCGCCCTGTCCTCCCCGCCCCCAACCCCCCTCCCACCCCCTTGGTGAGGAGGCAGCAGCTGACAGCCTATTTGCACTAAGGAAACTTTAGCTGGTGAACACAGAGCTTTCACATGCAGCAGAGGACAAACAGAGCTGGTACCAGAGACATGGAGGAACAAACAGGACTCCAACACTTCAGATTTCTAATGAACCCCCCCAACCTCCTCCATCCTGCCCCGTCTCAGTCCTCTCACCTTATCTTCACCCCGTCTTCCCCCATTCCTGGTGTGTTAACATTACCATGACGACGCTGCGTTGTGTGGAGGCCTTGCAGACTGAAACATGTTGATGGTTATTTACCAAATCAGTTTTTAGTATTACTGTTTTTTTATCTATTAATGCTGTCCATTTCTAAAACTCCATTTTGTAATGTGTTGCTTTGTTTACAGTTTGCTTCATGTTGTGTTAAATGATTTGTGTTTTGTGCCAAAGAACTTTTTATGTACCTGCGGTGTGTCTGAATTGCTGTAGAATCTTGTTTTGTTAACAAGTCAGCCCCCCTGCCCCCCTTCCTTCTACTTTTAGTTTTTTTATCATTGTTTGTATTTTACCTTATGAAGAATGTTTCAAGTTAAATGTGTCGGTACAGATGTCTATCAGGGGAATGATAGCCATTCACTCAGCAGCTTCTTATCCACACTGTTTACAAGGTGGAGGGCTTGATGGAGAGCTGACAGGACACATCCAGGTCTTTATGGAGTTTTTATCTTGTTTGCTCTGTTTTTCATTTCAGCTGGTGAATATAAATATTTTTACAAAAACATCAAGTTTTGTTTTTTATTCAAACTTATTTCTCCTTTTCCTTGAGTCACTTTGTTACAGCAGATCATCTTTCTCCATATCATCCAGTGTTGAACACATTCAGCCGTCTGCATTTATTTGTGATATTTCTAGCTATTCATTACTTCACCCACCTGGACAGAAACTTACGGTAAATAAAACCAGAGAATGATGCTCCCATCCTCATGTTTCACTATGGGAATGGCGTTCCCTCTGTGATGTCAAACATACCATTTGAAATCTCAACGTATAACGCTGAGGTCCGAAAATCGGGTTTTCTGAGATTTTGGGAGATTGGTCCAAATTAGTTTTAACAATAACAAACATTTGCACATTCATGCAAACAGGCATTTTATAGCTTTTTTTTTTTTGTTTTGTTTTGTTTTTGTTTTTTTAGCTGTCTATACAGTGAACCCTCGCTATAACGCGGTTCACCTTTCACGGTCTCGCTGCTTCGCGGAATTTTTTTTGTGCAGTTTTTTTTCACAGTGCATTGTGTTCTGCGTCCTGATTGGCTAAACAGCTCTGCGGTTCTTCTTTACCTGTGTGCCGATAATGTTACGGTATTTAAATATAAGTAATACAACTTGCCAATTCAGGAGATGAAAACTGAAACTTTGAATGCCTGCTGGAGAAAACTGGCCAGAATCAGCGCAAAACCCGACTGGAGGCTCGCTTGACGAGATCCATCGCTCTGCCGTAGATACAGCTGTGAATCTCGTGGGGCAGGTTGGAGGAGACGTTTTAATGACATGACTCCGGATCACATTAAGGCCCGATTGATGCACACGCACATCCGCTGACCTGAAAACAGGTTTTGTTCTTTGGTTTCAATTTAGAGTATTTTTTATGCTATATAATTGTAAAAAATAAAAATAAAGGTAACTCTACTTCGCGGATTTTGCTTATCGCGGGTTATTTTTTGAACGCAACCCCCGCGAAAAACGAGGGATCACTGTATTTTTTTCCTCCAATGAATTGGCCTAAAGTGTACACAATATAAGTGACATTAATGACGGAAAAAGTTTTGAAATCAGTATTATTTCCAACATCTAGCATTTTAGACTATGTATATTTTTGAAAACCAGAAGATGTTACTATGACCTTTCAATTCACATTCCCTGGCGGTGTCTCCATGGAAGGCTGGAAAGATCAAGGCAGCATGGAAAGAAACTCGCCAGCTTTTAGAGCAACAGAAATGAGCAATGAAGAAACAATTCCAAATATTCTAATACTTCAACCTGTCCGGATCAAAGGTTGTAGAGACTACCAAAGAACTCCCACAGCTCTGGGTTCACACCCAGAGAAGCAAAACCAAAAGGGAACCAACTCATCAAAGGTTTAATCAGAGGGAAAATATCTGATGATTTTTATTTATTTATTTTGTAACAGATTTAGTAGAAATAGCTGTTATTATCCACAGGGAAACAAGTCGTATACCATCTTGTTCTCAAGGGCTGCTCAGAAACGAAGCCATCACTCCAAAGGTATGGTTACAATTGCAAATACACTCGGGAACAAAGAAAATAGATTTTTTTTTTAAGCATGCTTATTTGCTGGATTTTACACACCTGTGGCCATGAAAATGAATGGAACAAATTAACTTAATGAGGGCTGAGTGAATATGTTTGGCAGTTTAGTGCAGCTCAAGATAAAAAAGAAGATGGCTGATTTCGTAAGAGAGGAGTCTGGTAAATGAAATATCTGCCTTCTGTTCCAGTTTATATTAAGATTCATCATGTTGATCCTAAACTCCTGTCTGTGATTTGGTCAGACTTCAACCTCACAACACGACACTCATTTAATGTCCTTCCAGATATTCATGCATATCAGATCTCACTGCTACGTGTGTCAAACTGTGGATTTCCAGACTTTAGAATGGGTACAGATATTAAGGTCGGACAGGGCTCTTAAAAACTCATCAGCAGGACTTAGAGTGCTGCTGATCAGGTGGCTGATCAGGTTTTCTATGTGTCATGGAGACACATAGAAAAATTTAAACTCCACAGCAACATGTCATTACTGTGGAGTTTGGGGAAAACTTTCACATCTATTTCAGTTTGATTCAGTTGATTTATATATCATGGGTTTACAATGAAAGTCATCTTAAAGCACTTAATAAAATAAACTATATCAAAATATGTTTAATTTATGCTATTACTATCCAAACCTGTTAAAATTAGAGGCCATCAACATATAGCTTCATTCTATCATTCCATTGTATATAATACAGTACAGTCCAAGTGATTAGATCATACATTGCCAGTAGCTAAATACCCAGTAGTCTATGTTGGGACATTAGATCTCGACTTTGCTGCATCCCTCACCCTAAGCAAGCACGGGGTGACAGCTGAAAGAAACCTCCAACAGAACCAGGCTTAGTGTTAGCAGCTGACACATGACAAATACTAAAGCACTGGCACTATACCCAACAATAATGGCAAAGATGACAAAAGAATGTACCTGTATGCACCTGTACAAGTCCTCCAGTCACTCAAGCTAATAAGAGGCATAACTTTGGAGAGTACCAAAATTATCCAAACCACCTACACTTTATCAAATAGGAAAGTTTTAAGCCTAGTTTTAAAAGTAGGCAGGGTTTCTGTCTCACAGACTAAAACTGGATCTGGTTCCACAGGAGAGAAGATTAGTAATGGTAAAAGGTTTGTTTACAGTGGTTATATAATTACGTAATTGTATATACAATAATGTTCTACCCCTCTCAAAAATAAACTCAAGTCACTGGACAGTTTCATGGCTTCAACAATCATTGAAGATCCATTTATCCATTTATTTAAACTAATCATAGCTTATAGACCCTCCATAGTAAATATGTCTTGAGACAAAAATGTCTTACTCATGAAATGTTCTGCTCTAAAGTTTTCAAAAAAGGGATCAGTTGACATTACAAGGAAATTATATTATACATGAATTTGTCAAAAAACTGATTCTGTCTCTGTATAAAGTAATTAGGCACAAATACAAAAAAAAATAAAAGCACATTATAAACCATTATTGCAGGTTTTAGGGTCCCTTTTCAATGTAATTTATTTGCCATAAAAGATTTTGTTGTGTCATGTTGATCTTCTGGTACATGACCTATTAGCCATTAAAAACCTTACGTTGTGCTCTGACTCCGCTGTCTAGCACTCTTAATGGATTCTACTCTATTGGAAATGAGAAATCTGTGAGAGGCAGCTCTCTTTTCTCTAGAGAATAATGCATGTGGAGAGTCTGTGGTTCAAGTGGAATGCTATTGGACAGCAAGGAGGAATAGCCTCATGGGAAGATATATTGATGCAGACGTTTTCCCAGTCCATTACCAGTTCACCGACACCCAAACAAACCTGTAGGGTGGATTCTAAACCAGACAGCAGACGTGAGCTAAATGAGAAGGACAGCGCTATTTCTGCAGGCTACTGTCTATAAATCAAGTTCTGTGCAGCCGCCGGCCAGAGCCGAGGTGTAATAAATATAATAATGTCTATCCTGAGGTTAGCCCTCAGCTGGTGAACTGCAGAAATGAATTGAATGAGTTAGAAAGACAGAGCCAACAACACTTGCTGTCTCCTTTTACCCTCACTGCCAGCGTGTTCCACCATGATAAAGTTTAGCAGCCCGTCCAGGTTAACAGCATTTTGAAGCAGCAGGAGATTCTGGGTTAGTTTTCTCTTCTCCAAGCCAAATAAGTTTTTTTCACCTGTTGTTTGTCAAAACTGACTGATCTCATCCTCTCACTTTACTGTATGTCATCATCAATCTTGTAAATATAAGTTCTAAATAAATTAAATTCTGCTTTCCAAGAAAGCTTATCTGTTAGATTAATAGTACCTTTTGAAAATAACATTTAAAAAGGAATTAAACATTTTATCCAGGACACATTTGGCATTAAAAATGTTTTTATTGATCTGACATAATATTCTAATCTTAAATGTTGCTAAAAGGGAAACATCCTCAACTAAGAGAAATAAGGGCTTTCAAAGGTGAAAACATCTATCTGTATTTAAATAACTTAGTAACCGAGTTACTGAAATACATAAATTTTTCAATAGTATTCTCTTTTATTGGAGATGACTGCTGGATATTGTGATTTTGGCACCAGTTCAGTGTGTAAAGGAGTTCTACACAAACCTGGTGCTACTACTTGTACCTGTAAACATGGTTATGTTCCAGGATGCTCCTGAAGTTCCAAACACTGATTTCATTTTTTAGCAGGACTTGGAACTGCTAAAAGTAAAAGTAACAGCAAAAAGTAACAGTATCTGTTGGTATTGTCAGAAAACTAACTCTTGCAGAGTCATAGAGCTGAGAGACACCGGGACCAACAATGCAGATGAGATGAAGGCTGCTAATCAAAGCAACCTGGACTTCCTGAGCAACAGGACAAAGGACAAAATGACCAAATATGAGTGAATATACTTTACAGTACATGGACAAACATTTTAGGAGCCCAAATCTCAGGATTAAAAATCAATTTTTATTGGTATTCTGTAATATTTAAATTGTCTAAGAAGCAGAATTTGATATTTTCTCCATAATAATAAAACTAACAGAAATAAATACCTTGAAATTTCCACTTGTGATAAAAAAGTACGTATCTCACAAAAATTGTGAGATATAGATTTTTTTTCCCCATAAGAATGACAAAAATGCTTCCATAAAATACATCTCTCTGTGTTATGAATTTTTATTATAACTTTGTTTTTCTTTTGCAATTAAATTACAAAAATGTATTCACTCATAAATGATATTATAATTTTTAAATGCATCCGTTGTTTATTTATTTATTGAACAAAAAGTGTGTGACATCTACAGTGATTAAAATCCTCCATCTGCATACACTTTTGAACATTATGTTTTAAAACAAAAATAAAACCAAAGTTATAAACTGTGTAAAATTTAACTTCACACAGTTTACATTTTCTAAACTGTGTGCTTTTCACACTTTTCACTCTGAAAAGCATACAGTTTACTTCTGTGGGACAAT